TCTATATTTAACACATTAAATTCAAAGTCAAATGCAATATATAGAGGCACAATATTCTGGTAGAAAAATGAATATGCTAATCAATGTGAACATGAATACAATTAATTACCTGATCAATGACGAGGCAATCAATGCCAATTGGAAATTTCAAAATATATATAGGATTGAGAAAATGATTTTTCTTGATGCTAGGGTTGAAAGATATGTGATCCTTTTTCAAGACTTTATTTTGACCCTTCATTGTATGGAAGTCATCATCAGAAGGTAAAGATTGAGGGCATGTTTACGTAATTGGAATGTGAATGGGTAGAACAGGAGTCATTCTCATTCCGGATGACTCCTTTGTTTATTTATACTGACGAAATGAACAGAAACGAGGGGCCCACAACAAATCTCATTCATGATTCCTGATATTGAAGAGATTTGATTTCGGAGAAGGGAGGTGGGATTGGAGAAGGGTGAAAGGGAAGCAAGTTTTACATGCAAAAAATACCCCCATATACATATATATTTTTTTTTCGTAAGAAAGAAAATAACCTAAACGAGAGGAAGTATGCCCATTACCTTAGGACTGAGGGTGCAGACATGAAGTTTGAGTTAATTTCAAAGCTAGTGTTGTTGCCAAAGAGCAACATGAATGATTTTCTGATGACGGACCATCCCACCAATACTCGGTAATTCACAGCTTGGTATGAGAGATATTATTGTCGTGGAGTTCAGATATTATTTTAGTACATGATGCTATATTATATTAATTAATTTCTAAGTAGCAAAAGAAATTTTAATTTAATTATCATGGTCTCCCTCTTAGTTACAGCCGTTCAAGCAACTTCATATTCAAGACATGCCGGCCAAGGTCGGCTCTTACATCACATCTAAATCATATATGGCCAGAACACAACTGATTTGGTTAATTTAAGAGAAAATAAAGACTTATCAATTTCATCATTTGCATGCATAAGCTAGCTTAATATAATTAGCTCTCAATATTTGAAGAACTTATCCCAAGTGCCATGGGATCCTCCTTGAGTGCTTGCTGTAGTTCAGAGAAGGTAGATGAAGAAGGGTATGTTTGATATTTTATTTTTCTTCTTCTTCTCTACCTAAATGTCAATTCCAAATTAAACTAGGTAATTATTTATTTATTTAAACTCCTAATAACTCCAGCTAGCATGATTTAGCTTGGATTGATTGTTTTTGTTTTGTTAAAAGAAATTAAGTGTTGCTTGCTTGCTTTTAATTCTTAGGGCTACTCGTGAAATTGGTGGAGGTCACGCGTCATGGAGAATATTTTCGTACAAGGAATTGCAGACGGCTACCAATGGTTTTAGCGATGACAATCTGCTTGGAGAAGGAGGGTTTGGAAGTGTCTATTGGGGCAAAACCAGTGATGGTCTCCAGGTATAATTTTGAAAAGAAAAAAAAAAACTAATTATTATATATATACCCCATGTTGCTTAGCAATGGTTCTTTGTAACGTTATAATTGTTTGAGTATATATTTAAATTCAGATTGCTGTGAAGAAGTTGAAAGCAATGAATTCAAAAGCTGAAATGGAATTTGCAGTTGAGGTTGAAGTTCTTGGAAGGGTTAGGCACAAGAACTTGTTGGGTCTTAGGGGCTATTATGCTGGGGCTGATCAGCGGCTTATAGTGTATGATTACATGCCAAATCTTAGCTTACTTTCTCATCTGCATGGCCAATTTGCAAGTGAAGTTCAGCTGGATTGGAAAAGGAGAATGAAGGTTGCTATTGGCTCAGCTGAAGGCCTCCTGTAAGCATAATAAACTATACACTTAATTATACAGCTTCTTTTATTAATTGTTCAATTGAATTTGAAACTATTGACTATAACCACATTAAGGGTTGATCCAGTCCACCATAATATAATCAACCTACCAACTCTGCCCTTCAGTATAAGCACCATATGGATTGAAATAAAATATTTTAAAACCCGAATTTTTTTTATTTAGAACAAGGGAATTCAAACTTAGGAGTACTTCAAAAAAAGGAGACTTTACAGATGGGATTTCAAGGTCAATTGTTTTGCACATGTAGTAAGATCAACATACAACAGAAAAATGATTATGCTAATTGACAATGAGTCTGCTGCTTTCGATTATATTTGAGTACTTGTGTTTACACCATATATATACTTATTAACCACGTTCGTAGATGATAACCATTTCGTAATTGAGCCCTTTCATATAATTCAAATTGTGAAGGAGGGTGGATAATGGGGTAGGATTATAGAATACGTCAAGGGTTAGATATCTTCCAATATAACAAACAAAAGAAGAAAAAAAAACCATTTACATAAGTTGGTCTTTTCACCTCTATTCAAGAGATCACTTCAACAAAATAATGTGTACCATTTTTTGCTTTTGTTACCAAATCGAACCAAATAAAATTGTAAAAAATTCTATATATACCAAAACTTCTGGCATTTGAATACTTTGACAATTAAAGTGCTCATGCTCATTGTATTTGTGGGTTTTAGGTACTTGCACCATGAGGTCACCCCACACATCATTCATAGAGACATAAAGGCAAGCAATGTGCTCTTGGATTCAGATTTCGAGCCACTAGTTGCAGATTTTGGGTTTGCCAAGCTAATCCCAGAAGGTGTAAGCCACATGACAACTCGAGTCAAGGGCACATTAGGTTACCTAGCCCCTGAATATGCCATGTGGGGAAAAGTCTCTGAGAGCTGTGATGTGTACAGCTTTGGGATTCTTCTTTTAGAGCTTGTGACTGGAAGAAAGCCCATTGAGAAGCTCCCTGGTGGAGTGAAGAGGACAATAACTGAGTGGGCTGAGCCACTCATAACCAAAGGGAAGCTCAAGGAACTTGCTGACCCAAAACTCAGAGGAAACTTTGATGAAGCCCAATTGAAGCAAGCCATCAATGTTGCTGCCCTATGTGTGAAAAGTCAGCCTGAGAAAAGGCCTAAGATGAAGGAAGTGGTTGATATTTTAAAAGGGTATGAGGCTAAGGCCAGGTTGACACCTTTGAGAATTGAAAGTGTGAGATATAAGGAGGAGCTTCTGGCACTTGATCAAGCTAGTGATGATGAGGGAGATGGAGGGGCTGATGAAAGCAATAATGGTTATGGTGTTTTTAGTGCTATAGAGGTTCAGAAAATGCAGGATTATCCTTACAAGGTCCATGGAGAAAGGAGAATGGCTAAATACGGGT